CAATGTACTCATTCTTCAATGTACTCACTATTCAATGTACTCACTATTCAATGTACTCACTGTACTCATTCTTCAGTGTACTCACTATTCACTGTACTCACTATTCACTGTACTTTCTATTCACTGTACTCACTATTCAGTGTACTCACTATTCATTGTACTCACTATTCAATGTACTCACTGTACTCATTCTTCAATGTACTCACTATTCAGTGTACTCACTATTCAATGTACTCACTCTACTCATTATTCAGTGTACTCACTATTCACTGTACTCACTATTCACTGTACTTTCTATTCACTGTACTCACTATTCAGTGTACTCATTCTTCAGTGTACTCACTATTCAGTGTACTCACTATTCACTGTACTCACTATTCACTGTACTCACTATTCACTGTACTCATTCTTCAATGTACTTACTATTCACTGTACTCACTATTCATTGCACTCACTATTCACTGTACTCACTATTCAATGCACTCACTGTACTCATTCTTCAATGTACTCACGATTCACTGTACTCATACCTTCTTATCCTACCTTCAATTCTCCGATTTTAGAGAATATTTTATGTTAAATATTATATTATTGGGTTATTTATGAGAACTACCAATAATGCGTGATAGCTAGTTAATTCTATTGAATTATGTATCAACAAATACAACAGAGAACTGTTTTGTCTGATAGTTCACTTGTTCCTTGATTATTTTGTATTCAATATTTCTAAAAATCTGTCTTATAATTCAGTTAAGTTATAGTCCTGACATTAATATATTAAACTTATCATCATCACGGTGTCTTACGAGTGATATCAACTGTTACACTTTCCAATAACACAAATAAAGGGCAAGGCAATCGGAGTTTAACTATGTTTCACGTTACAGTCAGATGGTGTCAAATCAGGTGAATATGGCGGGCCATATCAATGGGACGCACGTGTTTACACTAAGGAATCTGTCCAGGCTATTCTTCATTTGCATCTGTGTACAACTTATAAATATAGTGTTTGAGATGACAACGATGAAGACCTACAATGAAGGTGATATATTTTAATTTATATTAGGATGTAATAGTTGTATCTTGGATATTTGGAGGTCTATTGCAATTTTAGATAAAAACTGGTGTATTATAACTATAGTCTTTGTATTGTGTTATGTTGTGTGCATTTGCCACTGTTCCAAATTAGATTTGATTTATCAATGCCATCAAATATGGCACACAATGAAACACACTAATAAATGTGAAAATATCAGAATACAATCTAAAATGTAATAAAGTACACTGTAATCTCGTTATAACGAAGTCATTGGGAGACACACAATTACTTTATTATAGTGAAGTGTTCACTATAGCGAAGCATAGTATAATAAATCGAGTTTGTTATAAGCAGGGGACATGCATTATAGCATCATTGTAAAGGTCTGTAATAATGGTTACAGTGTGCATGCATTATATAAAGTCATGTCTAATTAAATGTCACATTTGTATCAGAACTTGTACAACGGTGTTGCCGTAGAGTTTTAATATGCGATTTGATTATTCATAAAGTCTTCATAATTATTTGACAGAAGTGTTTTCAATACCAATAGATGGATTAGTAAATCAAATTACGCGGGTATCCGTTCTTCTTACAAGCTACATAAAGCAGGTCTATGAGTTTGGTGCTGAGTTAACTGCCTCTTCTATTAAATACTTTATATCAATAAAAACCAATGAAAATATTTAATGTATGCATTACTAATGTATATAGCCTTTATTTGAGCAGAAAACAAATTAATTCAGATTCCAATATCAAATTGTGTTCAGCAGACGAGTATGTGTACTTTACAAGCTATACTTGTTTATCGGTCAAGCGTTTATTAATAAAATTATCTACACTGCTCTTAAATTAATATAATTTTTGTTTAATTTGTATGACCTAGTTATAACTTGCACTCGTGAGAAAAACAACGGTGGCAATTCTGACTCTATATTCTTATATTTTCAGTGCCAATAAAACATGACGTCCAACCGCCTAATGAATGGCAATATCAGAATAAATCTCAGGTATGTACATATTTCTGCTTTTCTTTCAACAATCGTCAGTGTTGGTTAGTTGTTGAAAAGTACATCGCTAATTTATTATAATCTATCCTTCATTGTTTCCTTGTAGCCATCCCATGAATACATCAGGACTGATGTATACAATCCTATTGCAGCAAGCAATGAACGAATTCGAATAGCCAAATACGCATGTAAACGTTTGAATAGTAGTCGACATCGTATGGTAGCAAAGCAATTTTTTATTTCTCAAAAATATCACTTTATGTTCAATAATATTCCTAAAGTGGCATCCACAACATGGAGGGAACTTCTATCCTACGCAGACGAGGACTGTCGTAAAAACAAACCAGCCCCACCTGCAGCTGATATCAACGACTACACAAAAGTAGTTTTCTTCCGGGAACCTTTAGTACGCCTTGTGTCATGTTACTTCAGTAAGTTCCATATATCGTCTAGTTTTTCTCCTATTTATGAAAAAGAATTTCGCTATTACATCTTGAAAATTAGAGCCGCTGGAATAAATCTACTGCGCATGCCTGGGCATCCGTGGAAAAGATTGAACGTGACATTTAGTGAGTTTGTACAATTTGTGATCAAGTATGGTAATCGAAAATTAAGATACTCAAAACATTGGAAGCCCCAGTATACTATATCCGACGTGTGTTCAATCGATTATGATTTTATTGGTCATTTTGAAGAACTGGCTTACGATGGTCCTTTTGCTCTTCAGAAGCTTGGTATTGCCAACGTGGTAGAGTTCCCAATTGTACATTCAACGTTAGGTGATGGTATATATGTTGACACTATGTTGTCATTATCATGGGAGTTGATAAAGAAAGTAGTCGAATTTTACTGGCAGGATTATGAAATACTTGGATACAATATTCCTAGTTTCGAGGTTTAAAACTGTGGTAATAACTGTTACATGGATCAATCTATATGAACAACTACTTTAATAGATCAAATAAATTATTTAAGATATAATGTTCTCGGAAATAAATTATTTAAGATAATGTTCTCGGTGGTAGATGTTAAAGCTGCATATGAAAAGACTCGTACAATAATATTTGTTTGACTGTTTTACGGTATAAAACGTTATCACATGATATCATCTCTCATTTTCTATGTTGACTACGTCAGACTGACCTTGTTCCACTAAATGTGTCAACTACAAGTTTCACTCTATAATCAGACGATGTGTGATATAATGTAATTCAATTATATAAGGATAATATCACTTTGTGTTTCATTAAGACATACGATACCAAATCTATTTCTTGTGTTGTTTGTTTCATTAAGCCATTAAATGTATGTAATATAAAGCATTTGTGGTCACCACTAAAACTACATCGAGTTTTGGGTATTTTAATTAATGTTTTTATGATAATGTGAAAGCTGGCTTGAAAAATTGTATTAAGTCGAAACGCATAGTCACAGAAGATATGGAAAATGCTTTGAGACTCGGTAACAGTTGCCATGGAAAGCATGGAAGTTGAATGACAAGAGGGGTCATTTCCCTTCTGAAGCTGTCAACACAAATGAGCTGTTTAAAAAAGTGAGAAGGGCAATTGAAATAATCTTTTGAAGACGGAAAACAGGTATGTGGTTTTCTTAATATAGCTATATAAATTGAAAATACAGTTCGACAGAATTGAAAGATTTCATATAAAAAAAGAATTATGTCTTATGAGATGGCTAGTTTGGTTTAGTAAACCAAAACAATCATTAGAAAAGATGGGTAACCAAATTTGGACATTCAAAACAAAATTCCTAATGAGAGCTTCAACATTCCCGACACTAAAGAAAACTATATTTCAGCTATGCGTGTCAGTAAGATGTGATAATATTACGAGGATACATCAAAGTATGCACGAAGGCAGTACAGCGAAAGTATCAACAGACGCGCAGCACAAAACGATTACCAAATATTATCTACTATATATAACATACGTCACAAGCGCTCTTTGGCGCTGGAGGGTACTGCTTTAAGGAACATATTGGGATTTTGTTGAGTGGTCATACATTTTATAGTATACGATACCAGTCTGCATTAAGACAAAAAACAAACACTACACGAGCAACGATAAGTTGGGCACTTAATAAAAACATTATGATTTCAAAGGTCATATCACGTCCCACTTGAACAGCGTGTTGCTATAATGATGTAGAGTTGAGCAATGAACACCTTACCTGTTAGCCATATATTTTGTTTTCCTAAAAATAGAATAAATCAAGAAAACTACACAAATTGACCCCATTTACGAACAATTAACGGTTATACAGAAAGCACGGTACAGTGTCAGAGCTTATTCAGAATTTGTCAAGAACCAATCACACGACTGGTTACGAGCTACAGCGAGTTTCTGACTCAGTTAGCCTCGCTCAACTGGTTCGATATCGGTAAATAAACGAGGAGGACTCCGGTTATTCTAATATCTACAAGGCGTTGATTGATGCTACTCGTAAGTAAGAGTTATATGACATTATCAGCCCGAATAAGGACGATTCACATAATTTACATAAATATAAAATACATAATGTCGTCAATTTTAAACCAAGCTATTGACATCTATTCGTTCTATCTCGGTTTTACATTACTACACGTCCCCGAATAACAATTGAATTGATCTCTATACCAACGTTATTCCATGAACGAGGTAAGGTCGCTAATACGTGTCCTCGATGTCCTTAGCTAAGGAAATAGTTGATAGGTTGCTGGTACTGTTCATCTCGTGACAGTTCCTAGCAACGAGATCTCGACAAGCTCCACTGTCGTGTCTATGTTATCATTAAATAAATACTGATTAAATAATATTGATTAAATCGTTGTCAAGAGACCGTTATTGTGTACACGCAAAGACACGCATAGGGTTATGTATTGACATTGATTGTGTTTTTTTTGTAGGTAATGTGGTAATTATGGTTATCGCGCATGACACAAACTATACAAATTGACTCCATAAACAAGAATTTACGGTCATACAGAAAGCACGGTACAGTGCCAGGACCTATTCAGAATTTGTCAAGAACCAATCACAATCGGTTAACCCCGCTCAGCTGGTCTGATATAGGTGAAATAAAGGTAAGTTGGCGAAATTTAAAATTTAGATACCAGCCCCCCCCCCCCCCCCCGTACATAGAGACTGGGCGTACAGTGGATTATAGTTCTAATGCGTGCGCGGATTTAGGAGGAGGCGCCCCTCCCTTTCACCCCGCAAGAAAAAAAAACGACAAATCAATTGACAAACTCAGCCCACTGGAGGTCTACGTCAATAGGAGCGCCCCAACTAAATTTCTGGATCCGTCAGTGGTTTCTGGGCTCCATGTGTTATGAACGCAACACAATCACCATTGCCGTGGGTGTAACGATCAATATTTTTACCAAAAATGTTATTAATTTGATTTTTGAACAATCAGGCACAAAAGTGTGAATGGTATTATTACAAATCGAGCGAATGTCATGGCAGAGATTCATAAAAAATGTTCAATTATAGCAATGATATCAATAACAGGCAATATTAGCACAATTTGTACTGAAATAGTCAATAACAACCAGAGCAGGATTGACGATGAAGGGTTTGGATTAACGTTGTTTGGATACAACACACCGTAAGGCTGCGGGTCCAGAAATGGGGTTAACACCAGAAAACGTTGACGATGTTGGTCAGACGTTCCGACGATGAATGGGGGACCTAATTGCGTTAGTAACATTACACGGCAAACAAGGTGGTTTAATGTGTTACCTAATAAATCTAAAAATAATGTGTTAGCTGGCCTATCACGTGTAATCATGGGGGAAGTACTTCAGTAGAAAATAATTCAGTACTGTGTCGGCAGTCCTTACAGTCTACGCACATCTTGACAAACCAAGCCGAATCCACACAACGTATTTACTTTCCAGATCCATGCATTGCCAGGCGGATAACACTAGTATGGAAATGTATATATCTTCTAATCGATGTGTTTTACGTATGTCAATGTAGTTGTAAAGGTTATGTTATATTGAATATATATTTAGGGAAGACTTCCTGGTTCATAGTTTTTGCCTTTGTTTTCCGCCAACATTGAATGTGTTGTATTAACAATCAAATCCTTTACAATGCACTTGGAGGATTATTGGTTCTATGTCTATACGTCATTTTTTTTTCTTATTACAAGAAATGGCAGCTGAAGAGAAATGCTTTACCAAAGTATTACTGACAAGCTGCAAGTACCCCCACAACGAATACCCCGTTCAATTGGATCATTTGAAATCAGTTCTATTTGGTGGAAATATTGCCGAGTATGTCAAGGCTGACGCCAATTACTTCCATGTAAACGAAATGCAGAGAAAAGTCCGAGAAATAAAGTCTGGTAAGCGGTACGATTTGGCGTTGTTTATCGTACATGCAGACGAACCACTATCAATAAACGAGAAGGACTCCGGTTATTCTAATATCTACAAGGCGTTGATTGATGCTACTCGTAAGTAAGAGTTATATGACATTATCAGCCCGAATAAGGACGATTCACATAATTTACATACATATAAAATACATAATGTCGTCAATTTTAAACCAAGCTATTGTCATCTATTCGTTCTATCTCGGTTTTACATTACTACACGTCCCCGAATAACAATTGAATTGATCTCCATACCAACGTTATTTCATGAACGAGTTAAGGACGCTAATACGTGTCCTCGATGTCCGGCTGAGGAAATGTTTGATAGGATGCTAGTACTGTTCATCTCGTGACAGTTCCCAGCAACTAGGCTTCGACAAGTTCCACTAAATAAATACTGATTAAATTGATAAAATCGTTGTCAAGAAGCCATTATTGTGTACACGCAAAGACACGCATGGGGTTATGCATTGACATTGATTGTGCTTTTGTTGTAGGTAGTGCGGTAATCGTGGTTATCGCGCATGACACAAACTACACAAACCCAACAGCAAATATTTCCCTATGGGCTCTAAACACGTTGGAATCACAGTTTCAAAGAAAACATTTCTATGGTCCAGATAGTTACGTTATCTCGTGGAAAGACCATCCCGAAGAGTGTCACAGGCTGACAATATTTAATTTATTATTACATCGGAAAAGAATAACCAGAGCAGATTACAATAGCATGTAAGCATTTCTGAAATTCTGTTTGTAAATCTAGAATGAAGTATATAAGTACAGTGTACAGTTAAGTATAGACAATGGAATGTTGACATACCACATTTTATATTCACCTAAACACTAGCGGCCGAGTAACGTAGTTATGGCATATATTTGG